CCTCAAATCCTGCTGCTCTGAGTGCAGTGATTCCACCACTGCTCAGCTGCTCTAGGAAGGTTCAGGATAAGGTGTCTTCATGGGAGCCGACCAGCCAGGTGTCTCTTTATGTGATTTTTATAGTTTGATTTGTTTCCTCTCGTACATTATGCTGTTACTTTTTAAACACCTTGTTGTGTTTGCTTGCACTAGGTCCTGTGCTTATTATTGTTGCTTGTGTCTGGTCCACAAGGCGTTTGAAAGAAGATAATCATGTTTATGGAGTTGGACATACTCCTAGGATCAATATGCTCAGTCTCCTGTGAATAAAACACGAGGCTCTGTGTTGGCTTTCTAAGAATTATGCTGATGATACCATCAACACTTGAAATTCAACAAATGAAAATCAGGCATGCCCTCTTCCCTGCTTCACTCTCTCCCCCATTTATGTAGTATCTGTACCTATTTAGCAGCTTGAAAGCCATCTGCCTTCTCCTCCATTCTTTAGTATATCTCCCACCACTCCTTCTGATTTAACCTAGCTTGCTAAAGCTCATTTTCTCCTATCCCATATTGAAAAGAATTATGACTCTCAGAACCACTGCGTTGCTCCTGTCTCACTGAGAACTCAGCCTAATTCAATACATAGCCCAGCCAGGAGATGGAAAATTGTTTCTTTTGGAATTAATCATAACAGACATATCGTTGTATTTGTTTCCCTGTTCAGACTTGCGTTGCTAAGGGATTCTTGACTTGGCAAGACTCACTATATTTTTCTTGCTAGAAATTCTGGCTGTGTCTCTCTGACCACTATCATCAAAATCTCCCAGTCATCCTCAGAGGTTTGTCATCAATGTCACAAAAGGAAACTGCTCTATTATGACACATGTTTGTAAGCTCCATAGAGGTCCATGAAAAGTTTTAAATTAAAAGTTTGTTATGAGGTTGGGAAAATACCTTGATTGGTAAAGCCCTTGCTTTCCAAGAATTAAAATATAAATGTGGTCCGGAGAACCAATATTAGAAACAAAAAAAAGCTGAGTAATACAGCTAGCACTTGAAATTCCAGAGCTGGAGAAGTAATGACAGGTAGATCCCTCAGGTTCCCTGATCAGTCAAGTCAGCCTATCTCGTATATCCCAGGCCAGTGAAACACAGGTGGATAGTATATTAATCAAGGTTCGCTAAAGAAAAAAATACTGATTATGAGTGTGTGTGTGTGTTAAATATATATAATGGATATGAAATGTATAATTAAATTGTATATTTATATATTACATATATGAATATACATATATATACATATATACATATATATGGGTTATTTATTAAAATGACTGACAAGCTGTGGTCTAAGTAGTCCAAGAATGGCTTAATCCTAACCAAAAAGCCAGAAATCTACTATTTGTTCAGTCAACAAGACAAAATGCCTCACCAGTCCCAGTCTGATGTTAGAATCCCAGGGAATTCATGGAGAGCAGCTGGTCTTCTGTCTATATTGGAATCCCAAAGGAGTAAATTCTAATATAAGTGAAGGAACATGTCAGCAACAAGATAGATAAATTTGTCAGTTATAGTGAGAGTAAGCAGGCAAAAACCAAAATGTTTCCTTCTTCCTTGTTCTTTTATGTAGGCTACCACCAGAAAACATGACCTTGGTTGGGAGTGAGGGGGGGTCTTCTAACCTCAAATGACCCAATCAAGAAAATCCTTCACAAGTGTGCCCAGATGCTTGGGGGTTAGTTGATCCTAACTGTAGTTAAATTGACAACCAAGATTATCCACCATAGACATCATCTGAGGAACAATGCCTACAACTACACTTTGTTCTCCACATGTGTACATACACAGGCATGTGCACAAATACCTGAACACATGCATACAAGCAAATGCATAAATACACAAAGTGTTGTCTAGCTCTAATTGACATGGTGATGTTTGGAGCCACTAATAGGATGGAAATATTATCTCCTTTCAGTCAAACATACACAGATCACTTCTGGCACTTAAGATGTCTGTTAGTAGCATTATGTCCAGAGAAAATCAGTGACATTCTGGATATCAGGAATGATAACCATACAAAGTTTAGGTGAACTGCATCAAGCTTGGGGAATATTGCTCATGGGAAAATCAAAATGTGTACAGGGATAATTTGATATATACATGGAAGGCTGACTACAATAGTTCAAGCTCAGAGAGCAAAGACTAAAATACAATAGAGTAAACCCACCTAATTACACATAGTGGTGTAGGCACAAGGAGACAATGGAATATCAACTACAGAAGTATCTCAAGTGAAACTTAGATGAAGCACATTTTAAGTCCATTCATAAATGTGTTCAGGACCTAGAGTTCTAAGCTTTATATTGTGAAATTCCATGTTCTCATGGCAGCATTGAGTCCTTTTCATAATGATATTCTATGGCCCGCTGATTATTCTATCTGTGGAAAGTGCTAGGATTTCCAATTCCTTTTCAGACATACTTGTTTGTTCAGTCCAAGCGATCTACAAAGTGCCTCGGGCTCTATGATGAAAGATGTTGTATAAATAAAAGAGCAATCAGAGTCATAATAAATAATAGTAATGATGATAAATGCCATTGTCACTCGGAAGAAGCTGCCCTGCCATTTGGGAAACAAAGTAACCAGCTGTGAGCTGGATATAATGTGTACACCAGCCAACAGGCTCCTCAGTAACTGAAACCTCATTAACTTTGACCAAAGACTTGGACCAAGCCCTAATTTGGAGGTATGAGTATGTGAAATAGAAGGAGTTTTAACACTTTATCCCTGAGCTTGAACATGAAATCCCTAAGCTTTGGGTATGTGAGATTTTTTTTTTCAAGAAATGTCAATCAGAATTACATTATCATCTTCCACCAAAGGGGAAAACTGAGTATATCAGGAGATACCAAGAGATCCTGTTCAGTTAACATGCCTAGTCTGATACTCTTTCCAATTACTTTCAGACCCCTGATAGTTCCATGGAAAGAGAGAAGCGAGACAAGTTGGATAATAAAATAACCAAATGGAGTCATGTCCCTCACAATGCCTTCCTTAGCTTTTTTCCATCCATGTAGACTGAGAAAGACTGCTAGTAAAATTCTTGGCTGCTCAAGCAGGGAACAGCCAGAAATTGACTGTGGACTTAGAGGAGCACATGGCAGGAACCAAGTGAACTCTGGGTAGCCTTAAAAGATACCACTGTAGGGTCTGAACCAGTCTAAGATCCTAGAGGTCTCATTGCTGCCAGAGAAGACTGATGCTCTTCAGTGAAGGACCTGGACTCCTGATCCTCTGTGCAGTGAGCATTTAACAGTCCTTACCAAATAAGCTCTACCAAGAAAATAAGAACTCAATAAATGAATAAATCAATTAGTAATCAAGAAAAGAAAATAATCAAATAAACAAATAAATTACACCTATGAACTACTAAGCTCATCTAGTTGTGTTAATCTAATATATTAAATACAGATTGGTACACCTTTTCTTTCAAATTTTTTCTTCTTCATTTACACTTCTTTCATTCATTCTTTCCTTTTTTGTATCTAACTATTACTTTTAATGTCTATAGCTTTAATTGATTTGCATTGACATGCTTTGACTTATAACATGCCTTGGATTTGTCTTAGTATTTATATTATATAATTTTATTTTATATTGCACACTATATGACCTTATATTATATTATATTATATTATATTTATATATAAAATCTGTGTTCTATATGATATATAATACAATATCTATATATATTATGTGTAGCCATTATAGTCTTTAACATTTTAAATTTAGCCGGGCAGTGATGGCGCACGCCTTTAATCCCAGCACTTGGGAGGCAGAGGCAGGTGGATTTCTGAGTTCAAGGCCAGCTTGGTCTACAGAGTGAGTTCCAGGACAGCCAGGGCTACACAGAGAAACCCTGTCTTGAAAAAACAAACAAAAAAATTTTTTAATTTAATCTATATCTATCAAAAAAGAAATCTATTGGAGTTTTTTAATATTTCATTTCTTTTCTTGAAAAGATTAATCTTTGTCTCTTTTTATTTAAGCCACTTGATCATTTATAACTTTTTGTGTGTCTCTTTACGACTCTTTTTATTTGTCGTTTTCGAACACTTTACTGTTACCTTATTTTCTGTATTCTCTAAATTTAATTTTTGCTTCTATGCTAATGATATTTAAAAGTATGATTTTCATTTTAATCTTTGAAATAATTTCTTTCCTCACAGTATTTTCTGTTCATCTTTCATTTTGTTTATCTATCGGACAACATCTCCGATTCTTATAGGACAAAGAGTCCTCCTTATGAAAACGGCTAAATGGGTATCTATAAATGTTAATCCTCTCACTCCCTGGTTATGTGACCTTGGGTCCCTCATCTGGGCCTGAGCTCAGACTCTGAGCCCTACTCACAGACCTCAGAGTTTTATTCCCTGATACATCCTAAAGATATGCAGCAGCATTTTGAAAATAAGGATACCACACTTCTCTTTCCCAGACAACATTCCAGTCCATTGGCATGAAATTCTTATTTTAGTTATATCCAGTTATTTAATTAAATAACTCATCATTCAATTATATTCAGTAATATATGACTAAATAAATATTTCTTTGCAGCTACAAGTAATACTAATGCAGAAGCATTGGTAGTCACCATGAAAACTCATGGACTGAACCCTGAAATACCACTAGTTTACCAAGAGATGGAGGAGTTTTGGGGACCCTGTATACACAGCCCCTCCTTTATGAATGAGGCACTGGAATAGGTTATCTGTGTGACTCTCTGGTACTAAATGCTTGTGTTTTCACCTATTTCAATTTAATAAAAATACCATGAGACATATACAAATGTGCATGGAAGGCACATTGTTAATCATTTCAGTTAGAAGGAGTCCAAGGGAGATCCCTATAGAGTACCAAGCCCTCTACACTTATGCCCTTATATGAGCTGGGAGTGGATTTTTACTACAGTGACACAAATGCAGTAGTGAATCCATTGGGCCAGTTAGGTGACATACTTGCCGTTGATGACACCATCTGGGTTGAGCATAGGAATGATCTTGAACACGAAGTTTTCCCTCAGGAGCTTTGCCACAGGATCACTGCTGACTAAGAACTCCAAGGTTCCCTTCATCACCCAGCTGGCATTGCTCTCACCTGGGTGAACTCGGGCTGTGATCACCTGATAAGGACGACAACCTGCAGGAAAGGGGGCACAAGAAATGAAACCGAGATATATTTTTCATTACCATCAACAAAGTCTCCCAGGGGAAGGAATTATACTTGAAGGGTATGAAGTCAGTCCTAAGAAGGTTGTTTTTGAGATATATGATCTACATTTATCCATTAGCCATCTGCCTCCAGAAGTTTCAAGACTCAAGAGACTGAGGACACCAAGGCTCTAGGCTGTTATCAAAGCAAAGTACTTTGTGGTATGATAAAAAGCCACAAAGCAGATTTTAAACCAATTAACTCTCCACAGTCCATTAGCAAGATGCTGGATATCAAAGATCTCAGACTGAATCTTATCTTCACCATTTACCAGCTCTGAGATTTTAGACAAATGACTAAATCTCTTGGTGCCCATGTCCTCATCTGTAAAATGGGGATATTTATAATAATGACCTCATGTGGTTAGAGAAACAAAAAAAGATATAAAAGATATAAATAGAAAGTGTTAAATATAATTCATGCTATTCAGTCCATGTTAGCTCACTCCTTATTTGATTGAAGTCTATGGGGGTTGTGGGGAGGATGAGCCCTTTCATTCCCTAGCAGAGACAGAAAGCAAGGAGAGAGGTTATTGGTGGATGATTGAAAGACACTCAATCTGATCTTTCAAAGGAAGGGCCAACACCTGAAGACCTGTAGGCACACTCCTAAGATGACTTCCTTCACATTGTAAATGGGGAAAAGGAATATCGAGTCTATTGAGTGACCTATATGATCTGAGTGACCGTATAGATCTCATGGAGGCTGCATCAGTGATGGACAGAGAAGCTCACTGTTCTGCCTTTTATTCACAGGGGACAGCAGAAAAACCCAAGCACTGAGATATATTCTTGACCATTCCTGGGCTCATACAGAAAATGGTTGATGTGTTTATTGGTCTATCTGTTTTGGTGGTAGAGATTGCTCCTAGTACCGTACACATGCTAGGCAAGTGCTCTACTGCTGCACTGCATCCCCAGCCTAGGAAAGGTGCTGTGAGTGGCTACAAATGTCTATTCTCCATGTGCTGGGAGATAAAGAGGGAAAGAAGGCATCATATGAAGAATTCACTTTTGTCAACTATAAACCCATGGCCAAATCTGTGGATGGATTTTTTCTGACTCACTTTTTATTTTGTATCCTCTCCTGATTTTTGACTGTTCCTAATCTTGTTCTAATAACAAGAACTGTTAGCTGACCATAAATAAATTTAGTCACTAAACAGCTGAAAGATTAATAAAGAAATAATTTCCTTATATATAGTTTGAATTAGTCCAAACTAAATAAGGTCTTCCTACTTTTCAATGATAGGGACATTTTTATAAGAAAACAAACTTTACCTCTCATTACACACACATACACAAAAATATAAAATGGAGTAACTATTGATCACAGGTCTGAAGAGCAGACAACAAAATATACAAATGAGACTTTATATTACTGATTTATGTTTATATTACCAATTAAGACCAAAAAAATCCACTTTTCATCTATCATATTTCTACCACCAGTCATTGATTCACTGAGGTCTAGACAGAAGGGGCATAGATCAAGGTGCCTTTTCCGACTACAGTGAGAGCAGTTTCCTTCAATTCTTTGTAGGTCATCTTTACATTACAGGTAATTTTCAGCTCTTCATTTCCTTAAGCAAGTGTCCTGAACCTTTCCAGGAACTGCAACAGACATCAGGTTGTAAAACTCAAATAAATTAAAGACCTTGTTCTAGAAGACGCCTTAACATTTGTGTGTAATGACACATGTGCAAGCATACAATGACAAGAGACCTAATGGAGGTGTGTACAGAGCACCAAAAATAGATCTGAGAAGAGAAGTACATTTCCAGGATGTGATGATATTTGGACTGTCTTGATGTATAAGCCATGTTTTATCAGACAAGAAAGGTTAAAAGATCTTCAAGAGTAAAAAGGAAATGAGGTAGAAGATGATAAAAAGGAGAAAGAGGAGGATGTCAGTGCACTATAAAGTGAAGAGATGCTGCAGTGCTTGAAGCAAAGAGATGTAGGTAGTGAAGCATGAACTTAGAAACGATGGCCACATCCATGTATTTGTCAGAGTAGGGGCAGGAATTGGATTTTTCCTGTAGGTCAAATATAACAATAAAGTTAGCATGTCACTTGCAGGCCATGCACAGTAACAGAGTACTCTATAAAATTACCAGAAATCAATGAAAGGGAAAATGGTTTGTTTATGATATTATGCATGCCACAAACTGCTGCTTGCCTGTATGTTATCCTGTCTCTCCTTCTAACTACCAGAGACCTCCTTTGGGACAGGAGCAGGGATTTCCCCCCAAATAAAAGACACAGCTTCATCAATACACTTAAAAGTACTCATAGCTATGAAAAATAAATGTTTCTAGTGATATAAAATGGTAGCAGAAGGGTATTAGTGAAGATCTGATGAAAGGAACAATTTTACATTGCAAATAACTATTGATTTTTAAATTTGTCTCATGCTTTTCCTTCTTATCTTGCTCTTAGATATAGTGTCTTCAAGTGAGAAAGTCTTCATTAGTATTGAAGATACACGGTAATTATAATGCCAAGTAAAAAGAATGAGTATTCTTGGTAAATTCTTTAAACAACTACAGTCTACCTTCATTGCTTTCTCCAATATGTCTGGACATGTGAGGAAAAACAACTTACTATTTTTCCACGATAGTGCAATCAGATTTCCATTACATATTGCTAAATTCTACCATGTGAATATAAGCCCACATATAAAAAATATTGACTAAGGGCATATAAGACCAAGTATAAAATAATATTTTGTATGACATTCACTCAGATGTGCTTTCTGCAATGGAACAGAAAGAAGGGGTTGAAATGAAAGTTGATATTTGATATACTTTGCAGAAAAGAGCAATTACAAACTGCTACTTTAAGAAAAAAGACCTAGACTAAAGATGGGACTTAGTTGGTAGAGTCCTTGCCCAGTATGGATGAAACTCTGGATTCTACCCTAGCACCACATAAAACTGGGAGTTGAAAGTTGAAGGATTAGAAAATGAATGTCATCCCTAGCTATGTAGGAAGATCAAAGCCAGCATGGACTACTCTGAGACCCTATTTACAAGAGGAAAGAAAAGAGCAAAGAAGAGAAAAGGAGAGGGACATAAAATAAACTTATGATGGTTTAATATCAGAAGAAAGGTGTGCCAGGATCCATTTATAAAAGAATACTATTACACATACAATGCATTTGCACGATATGCTGTCTGAAATAATGGGTTGAGAATAGCTTAGACAATTATGTTTCCAGGGTTCAAAAATTGTTTCATTATTTTCATTCTTGGAAAGAATCATATTGGTGTCAGGGGGAAATGAACACTGAAAATTTCTTGGTTTGTCCAGGATGCAATCCAGGTTACCATAGGCTAGATCCTTAACATACAACAGGAGTTGAGACACAACTCCTGTTATGTCTCAACAGCCTATATGATGAAATCTTTAGTCAAAGTACAATATTTGGTGTCTGGTGACAGTCTGCTTCCTGTTTCCCAGAAGGCCATGTCTTCACATGACAGAGAGGACAAAGAATAACCTTCATATCCTTTTCATTAGGGCTAATCCTATTTCTGAGAGCAGGGCCCCTCTCAAAAGCCCTACTATGCTTTTTACAGTTATATTGCAACATGAAATTAGATAGAAAGTAAAGACTTGGTCTATACTGCATTAGATTTTCAGGTGTGGTTAATCATTCATTAACTAAAAGTTATGAACAAGTATGTTAGGTGGAAAATATACACAGTTCACTAATAGCACAATTGAAATCAGCTAGAGGTCAGCTTTCTCACTATGTCATTTATTCAACTACTTTTGTTCCTTCCAAATCAAGCTGTGTTGGCATCCAATAAAAAAGCTTTCAGAGCAATAAAGAGGCTTGATGGATATGCACCCAATCAGAAGCGTATTTTCAGTTTTGTAATTGCATACTACTCTTTGTGCCCCTTAGACTATGTTCAACATTAGAAAACAATAGCAAGTGCTGCTTGCCCCGTAAGAAGAAATAAAAAATAGCTACTCTCTTGCAGATTTCTGATACCAACAGAATACTCTCATTGTCTTGGCCAGATGGTTCCATTACTTTTAAATGCACTATAATTCAATGTGTGAGTCAATAGGCCAACCTAAAGTTCTGAAATAGAGGCTTCAGCAGTGTGCTTGTATCCTTGGGAGAGTTGGGTGGATAAGCTATTATGCTGTAAGACTTCACACGATTTAGCGGGCTGTTTTAACATCTTTAGCATGTAAACAGGGACAACCGTGAGATCTAATGAAGATGTAAGCAGCATTTCAGCCATTCCTGTTGGTTTTGCTCCTTTCCCCTGTGATTTAAAACAATTCCACAGTCTTATCAGTGACTTCAGCTTATGGGACCAGTGAGTTGTAGCAGCAAATGGCACTCCTGAGAACTCATAATAGGTAACAGCTGTAAAGAGCATGCAAAACACATCCTATGAGGTTTTCCCATATAATTGATGATTTGGGCTGTAGTGAATCATTTCTGCCGGGCAAAACACAACAGATACTTAGATTCCCTTTTTTCCCTACGAATTTCTTGAAATCAATTCAAAGGAACATTGCAACTTATGGGGTATCAATAATTTGGCCATATTTTACATGAAAAGTTAAATCCTGAGTTTGTATCAGTGATAGTGAGATTTGTAAAACAAAAGTAGGGCACAGTATGAACTTGAACAATGGCCAAGAGATATTAGCCTATTAGTTTATCAGAAGCTGAGTGGAAACTAAAGGCATGTACTACATTACACATATGTGCCCAATTATATGAACACCTGTTCATTTCCACCTTCTACCTTCTTTGTTCAACAAAATCTATTCTGCTCCTACTGCCACTCTGCAGGGTAGTACAGATTACAAGTTAAATGTAACAGATTCCTCTTTCAAGAGAAATTAATAATTGTCTAGTGAGAAAGAGAGGCAACACCGATAGTTATTGCCCAA